GACCTAGCGGTTTGTGGAAGTCCAAGTGCTGGAATCCTGCAGAATGGTTGACGACGTTTTTTTCAGGTCATTGCAGAGAAGAAAGTACCTGGCAGCAGGGTACGACGATTCCCATTTGGAAAAAGAAAAGCAATCCTGAATCCTGCAAACTGTTGGGTAAATGCAGCCTGGTCAAAATGGTGCTTGATGACTGGGCGTTCTGTGCGATAAAAAATACCAGAACGCCTCAAATCAAAGATCTATAGAACCGTCATCCGGCCGATTTACGGTGCGGAATGCTGGCCTGCGACTAAAGAAGTTGAGGCCCGTCTCGCTGTGATGGAGCCGAAAATGCCAAAATGAAGACACTAGCCGTGGCCGCACTTAGGTCCAGTGGTAATACATACGATGTTATACGGCAGCACACGCTGCAGTATAGCATCTACCATTGTCCGGTACACCTTTCCTTTGAGCGTTCTGGAGCACCTTCGATCGCAGAGGATTCCAGTGGACTCCCTCCATTTCATCCATGCAGCGTTGACCGAGCCTTCACTGCCTGATCCACACTACCGTCGGCTGCCAGATCGCTCCAAGGTATCGGAAGTCCTCCACTCTTTCGATGGTCTCACCATGGCCGTCCACGATCGGCTCTGCACCCTCTTCAGAGCTCAGGAACTTGGTCTTCTTGACATTCAGCCGGAGCCCGCCTTCTGCCAGGACTTTCTGCCATTCCTGCACCTGTAGTCCTCTCTGCTATCCGCTATCAAGGCGATGTCGTCAGCGTAGAGGTGGTCTTTAAGTCCCTCCATAGTGGCATCTAGTTTCTAGTTAGGAGGAAGAGGAACGGGCTCAGAGCTGACCCTTGGTGCACCCCAACCGTGATGTCCACCTCCTTCGTTAGGCCGTGTGGGGTGCGTATATGGCTGCTTTGGCTCCTTCGTACATGTCCTTCACCAGCGAGATCAGGTGTTCTGGCACGTTTCGTTCCCTGAGCGACCTCCATAGTACTGCTCGCGGTAGCCGGTCGAACGCCTTCTCCAGGTCGAGGAAGGCTAGGTAGCAGGGTCGGCGTTTTTCTCGATGCTTCTCCGTCATTTGCCTTGCATGAAGATGGCATGAACCAGAACTGTTCATGGGAGATCGGAACCAGCTCCCGCAGTTTCGAGTCGACCAGTCGCTCGTACAGCTTCATTGTATGAGCAGTCAACTTGATCCCGCGGTAGTTGGAGCAGTCCATCGTTACCCTTCTGCTTGAAGATGGGGACGCTGGCACTTGTTCTACAGGTATCCCGTATCCTTCATTGTTCGGGCAAGTAAGTCACCTGGTTTCGTGCTTTCCAGCCACCTTATATGCCTCGATTCGCAATCCATCTAGACCCCCTACTCAACTCTCATCTTCCCAAGTGCAAGTCGAACCTCATCCTCTGTCCAGAGTGCGATGGGACCAGCTGTGGCCTCTGCCCGTGAGTTGTTCTTATGGGGCAACTCCTCGTTCAGAAGTCCTGAAGTACCCCTCCTCTTGACTACGACTGGATTCCTCTGGATAGCGCCATTGCAGCCGGACGAACTTCTCTGCTTTTCTGTCCTCCAACTTCCAATAAAAGGCGCTCATCCATGTGCACTTCGAATTGGCGACGGCAACCTTTGTATTCAGGGCATCGCGTTGTCTGCCGGCGCTGTATGCTTCCTTCTTCTGCTTCACGACTCGCTGGACTTCCTCGTTCCAGAACCACGCTGCCTTGTCTCCTCTGATTCCACCTCGCGTCTCGCCCAGTACCTCCTTGGCACATCGCAGGATGGTCTCAGCCGCTTGCTCCAAGTCCGCTGCATTGGCCCGTTAGGATCTGGGAGACCAACTTCCATTATCCTTCGTTTGAGGTCGCTCTTCTCTGCTTGGTGCAACTTCCACCACCGGATTCTCCTCTCGGTTCTTACCCTTGTCTTCTTGGGGAGGTCCGGCAATGTCTGCCAGGAGGGGCCTGTGCTGAGGAGCCAATTCTTCGCCAGGGAGTACTTGATATCCTTCAGAGTTCTAAAGGATAATCTTCTCGCGAGCACATAATCGATTTCCGCTGTTCTCCTTAGACTGCACGTTACCTTCTGGGTCTCTGCGGCCATCGGCGTGAGTTTGTTAAATAGCTGCTGTAGAAAGCCTTGGACTTACTCGACAACACCTACCTACACAATAGAGGCGATAAGACTTCAGAAAATCCTCGATTATGTATCAAAAAATGCAGAAAGCGGCCAATCCAAGGGTTATATTGTATCCCCTTCAATGTGATGGTGTTGTTGATCTGGCTCAATTCGGCCACACTTGTAATCAGTTCAGCTTGTAATTTTAATTTTGCCCACCCTGGATGTCCATCTGAAGGCATGGAGTTTAGGGTTAGTTGATTATGAAATCGGTCCT